AAAATCTTACTGCTCTCTATTCCATAATGCAACTCTTTTGTCAGGTCCTCCTTGCCGAGTGTATATGTTTGTGTATAAGTAGATGTAGAGGATGTAACAACACGCAGCCCTGTGGGACCCTGGTCTTTAAAACAATGTCGCTGGATTTAAGACCATTCAGTCTGACGTGTTGGGTTTGTCCTTTAAAAAAGATTTAATCCATAAAACCAGTGTTGTGCAGAAGGTGTTTGTGTTTACTGGATTAAAAGCAGATGCAAAGCTCATGAATTAAATCCTGACATGCGGGTTTGGTGATTTGAGGTGCCATGGTCGTCTCCTTCAATGACCAGGGTGGTTAAATATGATGACATCACTGTGACATCCTCAAGGTTATTCCATCAGACTTTAAACAAGCTCCTGTCAGAACCGCAGAAGACATTATACAGCTGTGGTGCTAACCATTGCAAATAAACTGAATAATCATCAGCACAGAACTCTGATGTGATATCCTGAAACCATCACTCCTCAACACAGGTGGGTGATTTGATTACAGCCTCCTGATGACAGTTCCATGTAATCCTGAAAGAGGTTGGAGGAGTCCCTCTACATCCTGTTAGATGTTATTTTTGAGTAGTATTACAATACAATAAACTGAACTTCAGGTGTATAATTATCCTTTCTGTTGCAACACATCAACTGTTGTGCAACTCATATTTCTGAGGAACCAAACCTGGGTATGCTCGCTGGCTGAGCCAGTTTAGTTTGTTGAACACAGCAGCCTGGATTTAATCTGGGGTGTCTGAGAGTCTCTGAGGATCAAAGGTATCATGTGTTGCACAGATATAAAGATATAAAGCCCTCTGAGACAAACTGGAGCTTTCTGCCTTGATAAATAAACTTGACATGTGTAAGGGTTGAGGTGTGTAGCTCATTAACGTTAAGAAAGCTCAGGTGAAAAAGGAGGACAGACCTGGACGTTGGTGGGATCGAACCTTTGACCTTACATACGTCCATGTGGTTACAGTTTACCTTCTGGGTTCTTATCTATTCACATGCAAAAAGAAATGGTCACAAAATCATTCTCACTGCTTGGAGCAAAGATCATCGTGCAGACAGAGTAACTTTTAAACCTTAAAACATATTAGAACGCGTGTGTGTGTGTACGTACAGTGTTCTTAAACCATAACGAGTGGCCAGTAGAGGGTTTTAAACAAAAGTGGCTTAGACTGAACTATATAATGGCTTAAAACATCAAGATAGAGAGGAAACTGCAGATCCATCTCTAAACTTACTGCACAAAAATAGGCTCTTATTCCAGCATCCTTTGCACTATTTCACAACACTAGTGTTTTGCTCTCTTGAGGTTTACAAATATTGTTGTTTTTCTTAATGTTGTGTGTGTGTGTGTTTACTTTTAATTGCACACTTGTGTCTGTTTGTTGAACTGTTGTCCTATTGTTTATTCTTGTTTGTTTATGTACACTGAGAGTCAAATTCCTCTCACGTGTTCACATAGGCCTATCTGATTAAAGGTGATTCTGAATCTGAACTTTCACAGTTTCACTTTATGAGCGTTTCAGAGAAGAGCATTATCTTAGTAACAAATCATGTTTGCACTCACATCTGAAAGTTTGTCACCAAACTGAGACACACTAATACCTCAGATTAACTGTAGGAACAGAGGGAACACCGTAGAACAAATTAATGTTACAGAAACTTCAACCTGTTGCCTGCTGTACTTTATTAGCTTTTGTTGAAGGAAATTTAGTTAATTTGCTTTTATTCTGGAGAAACTGGCCCTGAAAGGTTTTGTTCCTGCTGATAAAGGACATGTCAGGGGAAGTGCATCAAAGAAGAGACAGAGTGGATTAATAGTGAAGCTGAAACAGTGAACTTGTGTCTGAAAATGAGGCCCTAGTATTTTTTTTTTGATTTAGTGTAAAGATAAAGTCCTGCTCTGAGGAGGAATGTTGACTCGCGAGCTGAATTGTTGTTCTGCAGCATTCATGAGTCATAGGTAATGTTTGCGTAGATTTTATTCTGAAGGATTTGTACCGGAAGTGTTGCTGTTGTTGCAGCTTGCGGAAGTTTAGAAACCGAAAGTGTTTCTGATGAGCCAATCAGCCGTCAGAGGTCTCTGCAGCTTCTCTAAATAGGGATGTTCAGTCCTCAGCAGACATCCACAGCCATGGAGCTTCTTCCTCTCCTGTGTCTCCTCCTGAGCTGCTCTGCAGGAACATCTGCTGATCAAACCGGTAAGAAAGCTGAGATTCAGACTGAGTTTTATTCTGATATTGTTATTTAATAATTAGTACGGATCAATCACGCTCTACAGCTCACGTGATGTGATGATATCCCAGCATCCTTCTGCGTAATTACAGCCTTAATTATATTCTGTAACAGACCTACTCAGTATTTGTGTTAGTATTCATGTTTAGAGCTGCAGAGGTGGTTTATAACTTCCGACGTGGCGTCATTACTTCTGCAGGTGGGGGGGGGGGGGGGGGGGGTGCAGGGCGGCGTCTCCATCCTGTGGTGAGAAAGCAAAGCACGGATGTGTTGAAGACGAATCTTTATTTCCGAGAAACTCTTCTCCTTTCAAACCTGATTGGTTGCTTAACTTTGGACTCTGGTAGCTCTGATCAAACATTCGTGTGTCCGCTAAGTGAAGCTTTTCTAAATCAGCAGAAACCACAGTGTTTAGTTCAGTTTGTTGCCTCCACCTGTGTTCAGATACAGGCAGTCAGGCTCTGTGTGGATACTGACAACAGCCAGATCCTTGTCCAGCTCTCTGTCTGCACTAAAGGGCAATAAAAAACAAAAACAACAACATAGTCTACATCCAGAATCAGCTTTCCTGGACAAGTTTGTTGCTAAATATGCAGACAATTCATTTGGCTCTCAACAATGTAAAGAGTAATTATTACTTTATTTGTTGGGGAAATTAATCTTTTATTCACACACACAGAAACCTGTACACATGCACCTGACATCCTTTTTAACGCCACCATGAAGTTCACATTTGTGGTTCTGAGTAAAATATCTCAGTATCTATTGCATCAGTTGTGATATAATTTGGTACAAATTCACTTTCCTCTCAGGTTGAATTTTAATCACTCTGAAGATCCTCTGACTTTTCATCTAGCGCCGGCAGGAGGAAGCAGCAGGAGCCCCACCCCTGTAGGATTACATCGCTTCAGACAAGAGTTTAGCAAACATAAAGCAGCCTATAAAACAGTCAGTGGGATTTCCTTCTGATGGTGATGCCATTTTCCAAGAGAGCTGATTGATCTCTTATCTGGAACATTCAGCCGTTCAGCATAAACAGTGCCAGTAAGAAGTGAACCCAACAGCACACACATCTGCTTACATACACACAGGTCTTTCAGGCAGTCAGATACAGAGAGGAGCGCACACTAACATGTCTGGTGTTAACTGCCCAGCACCTGAGTTCTGATCTATTCACATACAAAATAAATGCTCACAAAGAGGATAAATCATTCTCACTGCTTGGAGCAAAGACTCCTCTTGGAGACAGAGTAACTTGTTAGAACTCATGTGTGTATATATAGTGTTTCTTAACGCATATATAAAATAGTGGCCAGTGGAGGGGTTTTAAAAAAGTTGCTTACACTGAACTATATAAGAACTTCAACATATAGCTTAAAACATTAAGATAGTAAATATTACAGTTCAGCGCAGCCCCGACCCACAAGAAGTTTAGAGTCAGGAAACATGCAGATTCAACACACATTGGACTTACTGCACAAAAATATGCTCTTATTCCAGCATCCGTTGCACTATTTCACTACACTAGTGTCTTGTTGTCTTGAAGTTTGCAAATGTTTTTGCTCATGGTTGTGTGTCTGTGTTTAATTTTAATTGCAAACTGTAGTTGAGAGTCAGACTCCTCTTATGTCTTCACATACCTGACGATTAAAGGTGATTCTGAACTTACACAGTTTTCACTTTATGAGCTTTTCAGAGAAGAGCATTGTCTTAGTAACAAATCATATTTGAACTCACATCTTACAGTTTGTCACCAGACCGACACACAACACGCTGTGGATTGACAGTAAAACTGAAACTGTGCAGTGAACAGGTCAGTGTGGCAGAATGACGATAAAGTCCTGCTCTGAGGAGGAGTGTTGACACACAAGCTGAACTGTTGTTCTGCAGCATTCATGAGTCGTAATTACTGTTTGTGGAGATTACGCTTTCATTCTGAAGGATTTTGTGTCTGACGTGTTGCGGTGGTTACAGCTTGGAAACAGGACATGAATTAAGTTGCTAGTTTAGTAGAAATCCTTATCAGGATAATATAATATGGGGGGTCAAAAAAGAGTAATTATTACTTTATTTGTTGGGGAAATTAATCTTTTTATTCACACACACACAGAAACCTGTACACATGCACCTGACATTCTTTTTAAAACCACCATGAAGTTCACATTTATGAGTAAAATATCTCAGTATCTATTGCATCAGTTGTGATATAATTTGGTACAAATTCACTTTCCTCTCAGGTTGAATTTTAATCACTCTGAAGATCCTCTGACTTTCATCTAGCGCCATCGTCAGGTTTGTCCGACACTTTGGTTCATGACCAAATACTTGCACAGCTAATGACAACTAACGACTAATATGCACATGTTATCATGCTAACAGGCTAAACACAACACCTGCTACACATCAGCATGTCTACACCGTCAGTGTGAGCGTGTCAGCATGCTGAGCCTCACAGAGCTGTTAACATGGCTGCAGCAACAATCTTTTAATTTTAGGAACATCTGTTGGGGAAGAAAATATGATTATGTCATGTGTACCTTTAATTGGACGTCCTTAAAAAGGTGCACATGATAAATAAATAAAAATAAATCTGTTGCAGCAGTGAAGCAGGACAGTTTGTTAGTTCTTAGTATCTTTGAATTCAATCCATTAAATCAATACCTATAATAATTTAAACTACAACTTCTCCTGATGTTAGCGGAACGGTTTCCACAACTAAATAGAATTTGTGAAGTTCAAACACAAGGCCTGATAACAAAAACTGTATTATCTAACTAACTATACACTGAAATACATTTAAAATGCGTCTGAACGAGTCTGCTTTCTCTCTAGACTGCTTATAAACTGCGGCGGCCTGTGAATGTGTTTATCTGACCTTCTCTCTACCTGATGACTCGGCTCGTGAACACACTGAATAACACCTGTTTACTTGTTTTGTTGTTTTTCTCTCAGAGCCAGAGGTCATCCGCATGGTCGTGAAAGAAGGGAGCGAAGCCATTTTACCGTGTTCCCTCGGCACGACGAACATTAAGGGAGAGCTCTTTGACTGGAAGAAAGATGAAAAGAAGGAAGTGTTCTTGTACGATAAGGGCAACCATTACAACAACGGCCGAGTGGGTCAAGATGAGCGGTTCAAAGGACGAGTCTTTCATTTTCAGGAGCAGCTGCAGTTCGGTAACGCCTCCATAGTCATCAGAAACACCAAGGTGACTGACAGCGGAAGCTACACCTGTGATTTTCCACTTCCTCAGAGAAAAAGACAATCCCGCATTGCGCTCGTTGTTGGTGAGTGCTGCTGTGACACTGTTATAAAGACGCCGGCTCATTTACAGACGCGACTGGTTCAAATGCTCCAGATGGGCTCAAGTCAAACTGACATCAAGTAGTCAGAATAACCGAGGTGGAGGGGGGCTGCAGATTAGCTCCAGCTAGAAGAAACATCCAGCATTTAATAAATATGTTGCTTTCTGCACATTTTACCTCATTGAATCATAACAGTATTTACAAATAGTAAAATATTTGTGCTTCAGAGACCAAAGTTCAATCTGGTCTCCATGTTACATGACAGAGGTTTCCCTCCAGGGTTAGGGTATGATGGTGCTATCAAACACACTAGAATTTAATGTTAATAAGCATTTAATATCATATTTTGGAAGTTCTGTGACAATGAGATAAGATAATGCTGCAGAAATCTGTACAAAAAGTGAAGTATAAAGATGATAATTCTCAATTTTACAGGTCAGGCAACCAGCAGAGACTGCAGGAAGTTACTGCTCTTAATCAAGAAATAGTCCCACAGATAACCCCGAAAAACTACAGACTGTCATTTTCACATTTCAGTTTTTCTACAGATTAAATTAACAAGATTTAACATGTTAATCAGTGACCTTTAGAGGTGCTGGCAGGTGGATTTTCTTACCTCTGGACAGAGCCAGGCTTGCTGTTTCCAGACTTTATTATAAACTAAGATAACCAGCTGCTTATAAACTTATATTTCAGTTTAATTCAATCTAGCTTTATTGGCATGAATGTAAACAACAATATTGTTAAAGCTACATATATATATATATAAGCCCTGCTTGTTATAAAGAATATTTCTACGTGAGCACTTCCAGCTGGTTGGGAAATATTTAGGTTAATAAAGTTTTAGATCAGATATGTGAGACTGATTATCCACAACCAACAGTGAAGTTAGATAAATCAAAGATCCTGAATATTTGAACTTCCTTCTTGAGAAAGGCCCTTAATGCTGGACGCAGATTCAGTCGTCCCCTCTCACACCAGGACCCTGCCAGAACCAGGACCGACACAAACCAGTCTGTGAATGTGCTGCCAGCTTATAGCTCGTTTGTGAAATCTGAAACTGTGGCTTCTTTCTAAACATTAAATCAGCCTGATAAACAAGATAACAAGTTTATTATTTCCCAGTATTACCTTTGTGATACGTTGATGATATCAGAAAAGCTCTCTAACATTATTGTGTTTTGTTTTGTCTTTTAGATCCTATCTTAAAGGACAGATCAGCTGAAAACATCCCAGGTGAGTCCTGGTTTAGATGACGTCACTGATAACCTGTAAGTGACGTCATCACTGATAACTGGAGACAGTCATTCACCAACACATTTGAACTATATAAGAAGTTTATAAATGAAACGTTTAATAAACCTGGATTATCCTGCATGGTGTTTCTGTTAATTTGGCTAAACTCCTTGATATAAACGGGGTGAAGAATATTATAGAAACACCTGTTAGTATAACACCAACAATTCAACATCAGCACAAACTACAACTTCCAAAATGACCATGAAGTTGAATCAACACGTCTCCGTTTCAGCTAAAACTGAACACATCATGAAATTTCATAAAGTTATAAATACCGCCACTGCTAAGGTGTAGGACATAGAGAAAACCCTGTATGAATGTACATGTACATCATTTGACTGTATCTGAGCTTCTGTCATGATATGAGTCAGAAACAGTGTTTGCAGCTGTAAATAGTTTCCAGACTTTTGGTAGAAGTTAGAAATGTTTGAAATATCATGTCCTATCTAACAATGCTGGGAGGAGCAACTGAGGCTGATACTGTGCTTTTCTGTTCCTCTGTGTTTTTCTGTTAAACACACTTTAATCCTCATTTACAAGCAGAGAAGAGACGAACAGGAAACATCACAGTGTTACATTTATAATCCTGTTATTGTCCTCTTGTAGCTGATCTGTCACTTATTGTCTGTTTTTAACTGTGTTCACAGGAGCATCTCCAAAGCCGTATGTCAAGACACTTAAAACAGATGATGGGATGCTGCTGCTGTGTGAAGTTCTTGGTGCTTTTCCAAAACCTACAGTAGAGTGGCAGGACAGTGCTGGAAACAAACTTCCTGCTGAGGAGACACAGGTCTCAGAAAGAGGAGGCAGCTTCTACATCATCCTCCAAACTGCTGTGACCAGGGCAGACAACTATCGCTGTGTAGCCACACAGGAGGAGATCAACCATCAGATTGAAGCTAACACCTACGTGGAGATCAATGGTGAGATTCTTCCTAGTGGTGTTGCCTCTGGGGTGTATATTTATGTTCTTTGGTTTCACAAAGAGCTCACTAAGCTCATCACTTATATAGATCAATTTTATGATCACTTCCTGAACAGATTTCATGATCAGCAGATGGATTTATCAATAGTTTTTTGAATTGCTAAAATAACATATCTGCTATCATAAAATCCTGTGGTTGGTTGGTTTGTTGGCTTTCACATCACAAGCGACCTGCTCCAGAGCCCGACCCCTTTTCAAGCCGTCTTGCTGTGGTTGTTTGGTCAGAACCAGAATTTGATTGACAGCCTTCACATCAGCCCAAATGAACTGCACAACCAGGAAAATTCACCAGGACCCGTTTTACATGTCAGTTGTTTGGTCGGCACTGCCTAGATGTTATCAGTAAATCACTGGTCTGAAAGTAATTAGTTGTTATGATTCATTGGTACATCACAGACAAACCATGGCTCGGGGTGGGCGGCTAGCTGGCTCAACTGGTTGGGGGTGAGGGGGAGAGAGAGAGGGCTGGGGGGTGGGTAATGTTAATGGTAATGTTACTGATAATAATCATAATAATAATAATAATAATAATAATAATAATAATAATAATAATAATAATAATAATAAAATAATAATAGGACTAGGAACAATAGTTGCAGCAGAGGGTGTTGAGCAGGAACATGGGGGCAGCAGGAGACCCGCAACCACAGATCCAGACTCCACAGCTCCAGAGCCAGAAAACCTGCAGGAAGTGACAGGAGGAGAGAGGAGAGGGACGAGAAAGCACAAGACTACCAGAAAGAGGAGAAGTTGTGTTAGTAACATGCAATAATGGGATGAGGTTGCATACAGAGGGAGAGAAAGTAGAGGAGAGAGGAGCTCAGTGCATCATGGGAAATCCCCCGGCAGTCTAGGCCTATAGCAGCATAACTAAGGGATGGTTCAGGACTACCTGAGCCAGCCCTAACTATAAGCTTTATCAAAGAGGAAAGTCTTGAGCCTACTCTTAAATGTGGAGATGGTGTCTGCCTCCTGAACCCAAACTGGAACCTGGTTCCACAGGAGAGGAGCTTGATAGCTGAACGCTCTGGCTCCTAGTCTACTTTTGGAGACTCTAGGAACCACAAGTAACCCTGCATTCTGGGAGCGCAGTGCTCTGGTGGGGTAGTAAGGTACTATGAGCTCTTTAAGATAAGATGGTGCCTGACCATTAAGAGCTTTGTAGGTAAGAAGAATGATTTTAAATTCTATTCTGGATTTTACTGGAAGCCAATGCAAAGAAGCTAAAACAGGAGAAATATGATCTCTTTTCCTGGTTCCTGTCAGAACACGTGCTGCAGCATTCTGGATCAGCTGAAGAGTCTTAACGGACTTTTTCAGCCTGATAATAAAGACAGATTGATCATATCTAGTAAAGAAGTGCTGACTAAGTGTAAAACATCTTTAAGCAGTCTGGTTGGGACGGGGTCTAAGAGGCAGGTTGATGGTTTAGATGAAGAAATCATTGAAGTTAGTTGTTGAAGATCGATGAGAGCAAAGCGGACTGAATATAAATCTGTTTCTAAGGTTCCTGAGTTTGAAGGTGAATCGACGTGATGACTGTCCTCACTCTGATTTCTGAATCTGAGCAGGAATCATCCTCCTCTGAGTCTGAAAGCAGGAGTTCACAAATGTTCACCGCTTCCCACATTTACCAACATTCGGCTTGTGGTTTGTATTAAAAGCTTCACTGTGCAGCTCACTGAAGCAGGTGGGCTGATTCAACCAATCACAGGTGCTGTATGATAAAAGCATAAGGCTGCAGCTCAGAGGACACAAGATGGCAGCATAGTTTGATTATCCAGCTGTTTTTATTTACAGTCAGATGTGTGATTCTGCCTGCAGCTCCAGCAGAGTGTGTTCAGCTTTAAGAGTTGGAGCTTGGGCAGCAGTCAGTGCTGGAAGAAGTACTCAGACTCTTTACTGAAGGAAAAGTAGCAACACCACAACGTACAAATACTCTGTTATAAGTAAAAGTCCTGCTTTCAAAAGTCTACATGAGGAAAAGTATAGAAGTATCAGTTGAATGTACTTAAAGTAGAAAAGTATTATAAAAAAGTTATATATTTTAAGTCAGTCTCATGTTTGCAAGATCAAAGTATCTAGCAACTATATCTGTCTGATAAATGTAGTGAAGTATAAAGTAACTTAAATGTACTTAAAGTAGCAGAAGTGATGCGTTTATCACATGTTCACGTTCATTTATATAGCGCATTTAAAAACAGCCCTGGTTGACCAAAGTGCTTTCCAGGTTCAGGATACAACAACAAATATACACGACAACAACAGAAGAAAAGGTCGATGATGTCGCCTCTGTTTGAAGGCCGGTGAATAGAGGTGGGTCTTTAGCAACGACTTGAACGTGTCGGCGGTCCGAGCAGTTCAGCAGGTAAAGTGTTCCAAAGATCAGGAGCAGCCGCTGAAAAGGCTCGCTCACCTTTAGTCTTTAACCTGGAGCTGGGGACATCAGGGAGCATCTGATTGGATGACCTCAGTGCTGAGTGCAAGATCTCACCCAGATTCTTGGTGAACGGACGACGATACGTTCCTAAAGAACCAACAGCAGCTACACGAGCACTTAAACCATCAGGACGACCGAACGCAACAACCTCAGTCTTACTTTCATTGAGACAGAGTGTAAAATAAAAAGGTCGTGCCTCTGAGCGTGCTCTCTCCTCACATCTCTGTGCATGTGCACCCAGTGTGCCCACTTTGGCCACGCCCCCAAAGCGCAGCAGTGAGTGAGGCGTCCAGACGACAGCTGGGCTCCACTTCACAGACTGCAGTTTTTTTCTGATGGGCAGCTGAGAGTTTATTGTTGATGTTGTGTTGAACGCCGTTAATGTTTATATTTAGTGGGTTTAGAGAGTTAGTAGTTGTGTTCTGTGGACGTGATGCCGTGCGAGCTCTGTTAACGCTGTTTCTGCGTTCTTTATGGTTCTGTTCTCTGTATATTGTTTATACTCGTGCTCATTGTTAGTGATTGTTACGGTGACTGTCATGCACATGTTACACAATTCCTGTTTGCTAATCATTAACTGATGGCTCATTACATTCTAGCTGTTATTGGCCGTTACTGTTGCTCAGGGTGCGAGCTGTTCTGTAGATGTCTATGTCTAGCTTGGGTTTGTTTTTACTGTAACTCACCTGTATCTAATCAGTCTGTACTGCTGTGCTTTGTTGTTACAGAACCACTCTCACACCTTGTATCTGCTTTTATAGATACAGATAAACGGTCTCTTTGACAATCTCAAATTCTTTATAAACTCTCACCTGAGCACAAAATAGCGTCCTGACCCGACAACCTGAAGCTGATTGCTGTCACGCCTGTTGATCCACCACATACACATTCTCTCTCTCTCACACAGAGAAAGTTCTGATCCAACTTCAGATCTCTCAGGCAGTTAAGCAGGGACTGAATTGAGGCTTTGTCATTGGGTTTTACAGCCAAATAGATTTGTACATCATCTGCAAAACAATGAAAGGAGATATTCTGTACTTGAAAATGGACCCCAATGGCGGCACGTAGAGTGAAAAAAACATGGGGCCCCCAATATATGGACTCTTGGGGGACCCCACAAGAAAGAGGGGCAGCAGAAAACTCAGCGAGGTGAACAGAGGAACTCCTGTCAGCGAGTCGGGATAAAAGAACGGAGTGGTTAACCATATCAAAGCACTAAATCAGCTAAAAGAAAATCATTGAAACTCTTCACAGAGCAGTTTCAGTACCGTGACGGGGCTTAAATCCAGACTGGAATTTTTCATAAATACTAAAATCATGTAAAAATGACTGAAGGTGATTAAAAAAACCTCTCTCTCCAAGACTTTTGACGAAAAGAGAAGCTGGTCTGAAATTAGAGAGAATCTAAGTATCCAGATTCTTCTTTTTTTAAACGCTGTCGCACATTAAACAGCTGGAACTCACCCTGAGCTGAGAGATGTATTAACCGAGGACACAATGCTCGACCCTGCAGCGTTAAAAACATCTTTAAAGAAGCGTGCAGGAAAACTGTCAGTTTGTTAGTTTAACTAGAAAGAAGGGGGAATGTAACTTGGCTCAAACTGCAGGAAGACGGCTGGGCTGACAGGGCGGGACAGAGGGGCCTCTGGGAAACGTAGTGGGTGAAAAGCTAAGAGCAGTGATTTTATTAATAAAACATTTTAGAAAGTTTCCACATTAAATTATCACGAGGGTTAACAAGAGAGGCCAACAGATTTTACTGCTCTGTGGTATTTACATCATGTGTCCCTCAATATTTAGAAAGAGACTTGAAGTTTATCCTTTTTCCACTTTCTCTCAGATATTCTTCAGGCACGTCTGAGAGAGCAGGTAGTTTCATTCAGCCGAGACTCTGAAAGTGGTTTAGAGCGTTTTTCCCTCAGTGGAGCAAAACAGTCCAATAACTCAGTTCAAGTAAAATATAAAAGGCAAAATAAAATTTTTACACTCGCTTGAGGTGGATTTTGCCCTTGTCAAAAAACAGTTAATGCTCTAAGCGGGAGATGGAAACACTTTTGCCGAATAAGTTCTGACGTAGTGAACTTGTAACTCACATCTGATCAGCTGTTTCCGCTGTCGGCGTCTTGCCAGATATTCCCATAACGTGCGGAGACCTGGCTGGCAGCAGTTTGCCCGCTTGAGACACATTCCTGAGGACCTCTCTCCGTTTTTCTCAGATCAGTGGTCCTCAGGTTCACGTGACTGGTTTTGTTTCTGGTTTGGAGCCCAGACGTCTTGTTTATTACAGCCATGGGTAACGTCAACAGCTGACGTAACTACGCTTGCTGTAGCCTGGTTTATTCGCTCCAAACAGCTGATGGAAACGCTCATATTTCACATTTACTTTGTTTTTTCTTTTTTACCACATTACAAAAGTCTGCTTAAAATTTGCACGACAGTTAGACAGAAACATGACTAGTGAGTCTTTAAAAGCAGCAGAAAACTGTGAGGCAGTTAAAGGGTTAATTGCTCGCAGGAGCACAGGTAGAAAAACTACGAACAGGGAAAGTAAATAAGACGAGTTAAAGATCTGAAATTAATGTGTCACATATTTCACTAATAGTTAAACCGTACGACAGCACGAGGTCCAAAATATGTCCTTTTTCACCGGCCGGTGACAGTATGTAAAATCAAAGTAACTACATCTGTCTGATAAATGTAGTGAAGTAGAAGTATAAAGTAGCATAAGTTGGAAATATTCAAGTAAAAGTACCTCAAACTTGTCCTGTCACTGCTCAGTGAAACATAAACGTATCTCAGCCTCATGTTTAGCTGGATGTTTAATGTTTCCTGTTAACAAAGCTTATCGTTTTCTTTGTGACGATCAACATCTATGATTATGTAGCATGTCTAAACTACCTATGAATTTTAATAAATTTGAGAATTAATACCCAATTATGAATTTTAATATTCAGAAAATATCAATCCATAAAAGCTCTCATTTCGAAAGGGGCACCACCGGAGTTGTTATTAACTTAGAGTCTCCGGACTTCTAGGTAGCTTTTAATAATTATACAATTATTCACCAGTGATCAGTTAATAATAATAATCGCTTAATTATCTTAAATCAATCAGTCAGTCTCATATCTAAAGGATATGAGACTGATAATACAGACAATTCCTTGGTTACAGTGAATTTATTAACTAACTAAGGTGATATAAAAAGGTGGTTAAATACATCAGAGAAATAGTCAAAGGAGGGGGCAAGCCGGGCGCGTGCCGAAGCGCCGTTTAGGAGGGAAGCGTCCAGAGAGCAGGGCGAAGAGGAAGAGGGAAGAAGAGCGAACGACGTCGTGTGTCGCTCTTTTGTTGTGTGGGGCGTGGTTCCCCAGAGGGCAGTCCTGCGTTCCCGCAGGGCGGGGCGTTTCCGGTTTCCTGAGGGACTGTCTTTCTAAACTTTTAATATGTCCATAAAAGAAAAAAGAAAATCTATTTGCATGTATTATCAAATATTTCCCACAATCAAACCTCACTGTTCAAACGGTTGTACCGTTCTAAGTTTAAGTATTTGGTAACAGGAAACAATTGTCAAATTATTGGTCATGATAAATGAGTGACATTTATACATTAATGGCATTTCTGACGAGGGTATGTAATACTTATTTCGCCCACTTGGGGGAGCTCAGGTTACATGAGGAAAGCTTAGATTAATCCAAAAACAATCTTCTCAGGAGCTGGAAAACTTAGTTATTTAGCCTTAAATTCAAGCTGGCGATTAATAACGTGTAGTATGACATTTATCATCGTTTCTAAAGGAATTGTGTGAGAAAGTATTGTGAACAAGCATTGGTTACACATAAGATTAAGAAGTGTCCTTAATCTTGCTGAAAATTAAAACACCGCAAAAGTAACTTATTTAGATTCTTTTCAGCACTAATATCAACAACAGATATCAACAACATAACTACTCAAATAGAGACAAACGTAATCAAGTAACTAAAAGATTATTTAATTAAACAGTAAATGCTTTGAGTCTTTGGAGACTGCAGTCTTTGTTTACATAAATTCAGGGCTGTCCTTGGTGTCCTGGATTTTGTCCCACCTAGGCGTGAAGGAGTATCCCTTTGATGAGGTAATGAAACACAGAGAAAGGTCAGTTGCCATGGTGACAGCCTATCAGAACTCTCCTTATGGGGGCAGGAAACCCTATACTGCCCCCATAAGGAGAGTTCTGATAGGCTGTTTAGGAAAACGCTAATCGCTGGTTAGTGTCCCTTTTGTCAGTTTAACAGTCAGGCACCGAGAGGCTTATCTCGGCTGTTGCCAAGTGGCCAGTTTTACGATCAACTGCTCAGGAATAGCACTTAGTGAAAGCGACCTTTCCACCCCCTTTCTTTTGGGGTCTCTTCAGCCGTCTGTAGAGGGTTGATAATCAAATCCCCTGCTTCTCTCTGGGAGAGAAAAGAGGAGTTGAGTCTCTAAATTATTTAATATAAAATGCACAAATCCACACTGTTGGTTCACTATAATTAAACACTAACACTACATGTGCCGTACATGATAAGCAGTTATACATTCTCAGTGTTACATTTACATTTTAGAAACACGTTTCAGAGGAAAATGTTAAGAACAGAAATTATGAACATTGAGAAGTGTTGTGAAACTCATAGTATTAAAACACATGCTATTTACATTACATATTAAAAAACTTATTTTGATACCCAGCTCTTGTCAACATGAATCCTTCACTGCACAGACTGAAGGTCAGTCCTGATCCAAGTCCCTCCTTTGACCTTGGCCTGGTTATATTTATGTTTATATGTGATTATTAAATGATGTTGGTTTATATGAGTTACACCACAAACTAATTCTCACATCCAGGTGAGTTTGTTGTTAGAAATATTACCACAAACTAACTACCAGGTGTAACTGTAGTTTAACTGATCGAGACAACTGACAAAACCAGCTTGTTACAGAAAACACGACATGTGACCTGCTCAGAGTAAAACAGGTTATAGATCATTATCAGACACGACGCTGGTGTAAGAGGAAGTTCACTAGTGTTCAAGCTCCACTTGTGATAATGAAAACATGAATCACCAAAGATCATTACAGATTTTAACTCTCTCTGACTAAATGTGCATTAAAATTTTAAAGATACAAATTACTTTAAGTTCTGTTAAATTATGTTTTACAGTATAATATTTTGCTAAAATAAGTTATTATAATAAGGATATTTCTCACTCTGAACTGCTTGAATTCATATTATTCTAAAACTAATACAACACTAACTCTCCTTCACACACAAACCCAGTAACAGATTTACAAATGAGGGAGATTTAGAGACTGAAATCATTAGAATCTGTGACATTTTTGTGACATGAAGAAAAAAAGAGGATAACAAATGAATTAATAACTCGTGTATCACCAAAATATACTGAGGATCTGAAACATGTCTTAGCTTAGAGTAATTTATTGATCATTGTTGCAAATTGCAGTTACACATGAATCAAATAAACAACACAAGGAAACTCAGAGACGTAGAGAAAATTTTAGTCATTTTATTATTATATTTTAACTAGAAACTGAACTGAAACTAAAAACTAGGACCAGAATTTAACTCTAAATATAAACAGTGGTAGTTCCTGGTAATAATTTGACACCATGGAGGCAGATAAAGGCTTTGGAAGTGCAGTTTTTACTGGACAGTGTGAACTTGGACCCGTCGCAGTGAAGGTTTCAGATGACAAACATGTTTGAATGTAGCTTCTTTACAATTTATTCTCTGCAGTAGGTTTGACTACAAGCAGAACTAACTTAAAACTCAGCATCAGGTTCTGACTTAAAATAAAATAAAGATGAAAACAGGGAAACTGTCCTCACTCTGATTTCTGAATCTGAGCAGGAATCATCCTCCTCTGAGTCTGAAAGCAGGAGTTCACAAATGTTCACCGCTTCCCACATTTACCAACATTCGGCTTGTGGTTTGTATTAAAAGCTTCACTGTGCAGCTCACTGAAGCAGGTGGGCTGATTCAACCAATCACAGGTGCTGTATGATAAAAGCATAAGGCTGCAGCTCAGAGGACACAAGATGGCAGCATAGTTTGATTATCCAGCTGTTTTTATTTACAGTCAGATGTGTGATTCTGCCTGCAGCTCCAGCAGAGTGTGTTCAGCTTTAAGAGTTGGAGCTTGGGCAGCAGTCAGTGCTGGAAGAAGTACTCAGACTCTTTACTGAATCAACACTCGCTGTAACAGCAGCTGTGATAAAATCCAGATGTGGTTCTGAGCCGTAATCCAGAGTCCACGGTGGCCTCGGCTCAGGGTGCAGACAAGCTCGGCTGTAGACAGATCGCCTCACACGTTTGCAGATCTCAGCACAGCAGGAGTTTAGCAACAGTCACATGTAAACAGGCTGAAGTAGAGGCGGCAGGACAGAGATTCAAACCTTCTTCCTACTGATGAGCAGCACGTCTCAGAAAGAGGACGATGCTACGACATTACCCTCCTCACTACTGAGACCAGAACCAGAACCAACCTCTTAGCTGTGGAGCCCAGCAGGAGGCGACTGGCCATAAGATCAATGCTAACATCACTGTTCCTGCTGAGACTCATCCCAGCGCTGTTTGGATCTGCTGACAGTTTTAGCTTCTAGATTTCAGGAGCGTGCACACCTTTAGATGTTCTTTGTGTCGGCTGTGATGTTCAACCTGCTGTTTATGATGTGCAGCTACGTTCTGACTGTTACATTCACTTTTTATCATCTGTTTCAGGGTCTCCCAAAGAGTCCTTGACTGAGTCCGCCACTGGATGGAAAGTTGCTGTTGCAGTTCTTTCTCTTGTTGTTGTTGTTGCTGTAGTTGTTATAGCTGTGCTTTGTGTACGTCGCACCAGATGAAATTCTCTGAGAGGTAAGTTTAAATAATGTTTTTATCAACATATTCATGATGAGCAGACGACACATTCTTTGTGTCTCATGTTTAGAGTCTTGACAGATGTTTTATCTTCTCAGGCATTAAGCATTCTGTTGGTATTTACACCAGCGTAGGATCAATGCAGGAGGGATTTTGTTTAATATAACTTTGTTTTCCTTCCTGCAGGTTCAGATCAACAGGCACAGGGACAAGAGTCTCAGCATAATACCCTGATTTCCTAACTAGCTTTATGTGCTGTGCAGTCGGCTAATGAAGTGTGTGTTTGTGCTGTATTTCTGTATGACAGTGAGGACATTTTGGCTGGTCTCCACTTATTTGTTCGAGGGTCAAGACCTGGTTTTAGGGTTGTGGTTAGACAGATTGTGGTAATTGTAACAAGATGAAAGTGAGGTTGTTGTGCATGTAGCTCACCTTGCTTTTATATGGAAGCATTATGACATCCCATTACCACAACCAGGATCTTTCCCTGACCTTAACAAGTGTTTTAAATAAACTGTCCCTGTTAAAGTCATGGACAGTTAGAAAACAGCATGGCAAAATGTAAAGTCTTTACCTTTACCTCACAGCACTCAGCATCTGTTTAAATATACACATAAAGTCGAAGTGAAGGACACAAAGTCCATCCAAGAAAACAGAAGACATGTTTGTTAAACAATATCTGGATTGAATTAATGGCACCGACTTGAGAATTAGCACCACCAGCTGTTTATCTCTATGAACGACTTCCCAATATGTTTCTGGATATTCAGTTAATTTGTGCCACATTTGGTTGTAAACTTGTCTTACAGCAGACTTTTAACTCCACCTGTGAGTGAGACCGCTCTGACCAACAAAACAACACTTTGCCTTCAGACGTTCAGACACATTTAACTTATCTTCTCATTAACCTGTAGTTTCCCTGGACAGATGTTGTTGGAATAAGTCATAAAAAATACATCTTTTTTATTAATTATTTTGAATATATTATTTAACGTTCAAAAATATATCGTTAAATTGAACTTAGGGTTTTGCAGAATCGTGTTGTGTTGTGTTCTGTCTTTTTAGCAGACAGGTTGGAGTTAACGAGGTGAAACAGAAGAGAGAAAGTGGCCTTTAATGCTGACAGAACTGATTATCAATGAATCATTGATTAATTAGATTTTTTCATTCTTGTGCAGCTCTAAGAGAAAAAATATTGACTTAATTAATGACGACTTCTTGCACTCTGCTCTGTGTTGCTTTATGTTTTTATTTTTATGTTCTGATTATTTTATGTGACACATTTTTACTCTTGAACTGTCGTCAGTGTAGATTAATTTAATTCCAGGCAGCACAAAGTGAAGTGATGATCAAACTGCCCACTGAACTGTTGTTAAGGACATTAAATATGATGAATAAGACGGAACTGCAAAGAAACGATGTGATGAATAACGAGAGAGCAGCGCAAGTGTTGAAAGCTGAGGGTCTTGGACCAAAAAAACGCTGCCATCAGTGAGTGAGTGAGTGTGAGTGGATGAATGAGGAGCAGATCTGCTGCATAAATAGTGTCCATTCACCAAATATTAGACTGCTTGTATTTCTTAAAGGTCCTAACTGAGCAAGACATGGACATT